TCAATCGACTCATGCCGTGCGTCGGGTCTGAGAAACCGGACGACTCGCGTACGAAAGCCGGAGCGCAACTACAGGCCGACCCGTTTGTACTGTCGTCGGACTCGGAGTTCTGGTGGTGTGTGTGATGGCCGGCCGTGTGATGATGGCTGTGACGGTCCGAGTGTGTCGTACACACAGTGTTTTGACACGAGTTGTTATTCCACATGTATTTGGCACTCGTGCTCATCACCGACATTAGGCCCGTATCGGTGTTGCGGCTCTGAGCGGTCAGGTCCAGGGCCAACAGCCACGACCTGTTGCGGACAATACACGAACAAACATTTATTTAAACAATGTCAATATTTAAATTGTTAATATATTTTATATAGTTGCAGCAAACATTAAATTATCATTGTATTGCTATTAATATTGTAAAGTATAATATGTGTCGGACATGGGATGGGGTGATGGGATGCATACCGGGCTCCCATTTCGTCGTCGGCGGCCAGCAGTAGAGGTGCCCTTCCGTTACAGACCAACACCAATACATTGGAGAATCTGTGGGACTCGGAAGCAATGCCGATGTGAACCGTTTCGTTGAGCTCGAGGGCCAGGAGTGGAGTGCAGTTGGCTTTGATGTCGTGTTGATTGTTATGCATTTCTAAAATCGATGTGTTGTCCATCACTGAGTCCCTCAACACAAAGTACCTCTTGTGCCACGCCTTCAATCATAATGAAAATAGTTTTAATTTAATTAATCAATTTGTTTAACATTTAAAACAAATATTTTAGTTGATTAATTTTTCATCAATTTATTTCTCTTTCTCTCTCGTATTTAAATTTTATTTTTATTGTTAAACCAATTTTATTAACACAATTGTTTGCATTTTGTTTTGTCTTTAACTTTCTTTTTGTTATTTTATTTATTTATTTGCAAAACAAATCATTAATAATTTATAAGGTTTTGTTTGGGAATTCTGTAGTAATTAAATGACAAACCGTTGAATTAATAGTCAAAACATTCATAGATAAGATACGAGAACTTAATTCACTATATAATAGTCATTTTATATAGTCATTAATTTAAGCCAATAATTAAACATAAAAATCAAATGATTATTTAATGATTAAAAATTACTTTTCGACTCATTATACGCAAAATATTTAATGACAATTTAGTGGAAAATGTTTGTTATTTTATAAATTAGTAATTATAACATTTAAAGTCACTGTATATGTGAGAAATGGTTGAAATAAACGAATAAATTTGTAATCATCATGATTATTTTATGAGTACTATTGAAGCAATTATCTAGAGTTTGGTATATTTTTTCTTATATA